TGAAAGTCACAATTTTTGTAACACCACGCTACAATGGCTTAATGCAGTTGGTAAAGAATAAGAGAAAACTAGATGATCATACACACAACATAGATCAACAATCTAGGGCTCTTCCCAAGCTTTCTTTCCTGTTTATTTTCCCAACAAATCTGCAAGAATTTAGTTCCTGTACTCCATCTCCCAAAAGACAGAGGCAAAGCTACAAAAAAGAAAGTGTACTAAATTTGTCACTGCAGCACTAAAATTCCGCAGGAAGCAACACTTTCGTCAGCACTTCTTTCTGCTGGTTTAGTTTCCTACTATATTTCTACAAAAATAATATTTTCTGGCCAAAGAGGAAAAAGTACAAACTCTTCTACAGAAACGAATGATCTGTGTGCATTGGTTTACCACCAATGAAAATAGCCTTACTCCTCATGCCAAGCTCTATCTCAAATCACTGCTCATGGCTAAGCTCACCTTGCATCTTTCTTCTAAACCCCAGCACCAAGTATGTATATGTCACAGTTGTAGATACTACGGATACCCCAACGTAGACGCATACTGTTGTAGTACAAACATAAATGTACCTGGAGAGAAGATGCAAACCATAAGTTCCAAAGTGAGTGAAGTTAATATGAGCTGTGGACTGCCTTTAGCTATTAAAATGTCTTTCGACAACGGATGCAAGAGAAAATAATATCTACTTTAGGTGTAAACAGAAGCTTAGAAATCAGTTTTATCTTATATAATTTTCACCTATTACGATTACAATTTAGGGATTAATTATTCATTTATCTCTGTTTATGATAACTTTGTTCTAATCATTACAGTTAATTACTATGTTACTATATTTTATTATTTGGAATGCATATAAAAGTAGGTCTTATTGTAATATAGTTTCATAATTCTAGATTGACTGACGTTAATGAAGATGGATTGTAGTTTACCCTAATTTTCTCCTGCCTCTCTTCTTCAACCTCTACAATTGGTTCTCTCTTTTCTACTCTCCAGTCTGTTTTAATTTCTCACCCTGTCCTAAAGTCTTTGTCCTACATCTTTCCAAGGAGTTCCATAGTACAATAAATAGATTATCACAGAAGATTTCTAAAACAATCACTTAAGACTCCCTCACTCTAGACAAACACAATGCATAAGAGAGGTTTATTTCAGTCAGGAACATCAACTAATACAAGCCCTTATCTCAGTGAGACTTACTTGGGAGAAAAGACGCTCCAGACAAAAAGATGGTTCCTCATTAACAGCAATATGATGGTGTACGCTGTCAACAAAATGGAGTTCAACCCCAGTGGAACCAGACAAGGAAAGCCAAGCATTATTTTGAGGAGTTGTGTGGAATCTGCACTGAAGGGAGATGGGAGATAGCTTGTCTCCTTCACAGAGATATACATCACCATGCTAAGGATAAATAACATTGGGGAGGCATAGGTGATCATGAACATTAAGATGCCAGAAAGTACCGTCGAGTGACTTGAGATGCCCTGGCAATGAGTAAACAATCAGAAACAAACAGAAACTTTCCAAATCTCAAAATTTCTGCAATCTGTCCCCAAAATAATGTTTTTCTTTTCTATATAAACCATGCCAGGGTAAAGAGGATGTACAATAAAAGCTCCGGCAACATCAATAGTAGCTAGAGAATTGCTGTTCCCCAGAGCAAAATGGCCAGCCATTCCCAAAAAGTAAAATGCAGCAACCTAAAAGAACAAATGCAAAATGCAGTATTAGTACCTGCAATAAATGAGACTGAGGGAGTAAATAAAATGGGGTAATGTTCTATTGCCAGATGTCTATCATCTTATGTTGCCAAATATCTAATGTGCTATGTTGCCAGATAACTGGCTTGTTAATAACATGCCAGGCTGTCTGGCAAGATAACATTTTCCAAACAAATTAACACTGTTCATGCAGCACATCACACACTCATGCTTTCTTTTT